CGGCAGCTCGGCGCTGGCTGCTGTGCGGAGGCCAGCCGCGGGCCGCCTCGTCCTCACCCTCCTGCCCTGGCTGCGGCCCCCCGGGGCCCGGAGCCCAGTGTCCCAGCACTCCGCGCTCCGCGTCCGCCCCGGCGCCGGCCGACGGCGCGGACCTCAGCGCGCACTTGTGGGCACGTTACCAGGACATGCGGAGGCTGGTGCACGGTGGGTGAGCCGGGGTGGGTCGTGTGCCCGAGGGCGTCCCCGGGGTGCACCGGGGTCGCAGAACCCAAGGGACGGGCGGCGTTTTGGAAGAGGCTCCATCGGGTCTCCGAGGAGCATTCCGTCTCCTGGGGCGAGCGGGAGGTTTGTTCCGGTCGGTCTGCTGGAGCTTGGGGTAACCGCCGGCGTGCACGGCCCTTAGGTCTGGCTCCCGGGTCCGGCTGGCAGCGGCGGAAACCCTCGCAGCCCCTTGTTCTCCGCTGGCCCTTAGTTGCAGTGAGCACTGTGGACAAAGACTGAGCGGTGCTCACGGAACGGGCTCTTGGGAACACCAGCAAGACTTTGCAGGCACCTCTTGGTTAGGCTCTGGCGGTCTAGAGCACTTCTAAACAAGCTCAAGAAAGGCGTTGGAGAAACATTAGAAAGCCACCCCAATGTCCTGGAATCCCAAAGGGTTGCTATAGTCTCAGCCAGGGCAGCACCAGGGCACTTAGCCTCCCCTAGCCTTCTCTCCCTCTACGAAATGGACTAATGAGGCCGCAGATCTCAGAGTGCAGCACATCTGTCCATTTCTCTGGGTGGGTCTAGTAGGACCTTGCCTCTGCAACAGATGTGCTCTGTGCTGTGGCCCTATCACTTCCCAGCTGGGTGGACCTCGGCCTCACATCCTCCCAGGACCCTCGATGTTCTCAGGCATGTAAGCAATCCTGGGACTGTTGTCATAGGATTGTGGTGATGAGTCAGAACCAGGCCAAGAAGGGGCAGGGGTGCTTCTGGAGGAACCCCCAGGGGTGCCGTGGCTTTCATTGTCTGGTAAGACAAAGTGGCTCATTCTGGGAGATTCCACCTGTGACTGGACAGGGCCTTCCACTCCAGCTGTGTGGAGACCTGGAGACTGCCAGAACTCACCTTAACAAGATGCTGCCAGAATAGTTGAGACCTCTGGAATGGCTGTTCTTAAGGACTGGGAATCTTGGGGCCGAGAGAGCAGTTTTACTTATGGAGAAGCCTTTGTTCGGCAAGGCCCTCTTAAGTGGCCTGAGAAGCAGCCTGCCTTGGAGGTGTGAAGGGGGGAGAATCTGCTGGGCATGTCCTCCAGAGCCCTCCTTACAGACCTCTCTCAGTTCCTGCTGTGTGCAGTTTCTTCCACCAACATACCACGATAAGCTAGCTTCGAGCCTCTGAACCCTCATCTGGCTGGGTTTTTTAGGAAGAATTTCTGAGCAAAACTCCCAGGGAGCCAAGCCATCAGCTAGCCCCCACTCAGCAGGGCAGCAGGAAGAGCACCTTCCTCCCTGCTCTGCCTCATTGTGTGACTAAAAGACTAGGCAAAGAGGAAGAATGATTAAGGCAGGATGGGGTCACCTGAATGCAAGTCTCAACTTAGTTGCCTGCTGCTGGGTGATTTGGGCAAGTGACTTAACCTCTCTGAACTTGTTTCTTCCTCTGGACGATGGAGGCATTCAGTGTGACTGCTGCTTAAGACTGGAGTGAACAGTGAACAACACAAGACTGTAAGACTCACAAGTGAGTCATATCTACCAGAGCCCTAGAATCTGGAACCTTGAGCATCTGGGGGACGTGGGGGGCTGGAGAAAAGAAAGGAAGGTAGGGGCTAGAGTGAAACAATAAGCTTGGCAAGCTAGTGCTGGGTTAGGGTATATAGCCTCCTCTCCTGGCCTATCCACATCATCTGTGGAAGGAAATGGGACCCTGCAACCCCCATAGCTATGGTTTCCTCAGTCCAGAAATGGGGCAAAGTGGCCAGGCCCTGCGGGCTGCGTTCCTCATCCTGCTTTGTTTCTGGGAGGGTTATATACCCCTGGAAGGACTCTTAAAGGCAGGGGCAAGGCCTATATTTAACCAGAACTCTGTGCCAGCAAGGGGCTGCAAATGCCATGTAGATGCCTTTCACCCCAGGGCCTTTCTGAACACTAAAGGGGTCATAGTCCCAGTTAGTATTCAGGAATGTGGGGCTGTGGGGAAATGCAGCTCTGTGGGCACCTGAGGCCCAGGGTCCTAGTGATATCAGGTGAGGAGTGTCTCAAGCAGTTCTTTAGAGGGAGGCCATCAGCTGTGTCTTAAGCATGTCCAAATGAAGTGCCCCATCCACACTCAGGGATCTGCAGAACAGCTGCTCTACGCAGGCTTTATGCCACCAGAGGAACCAGCCACACCTGTTCCCACACCTACACCCTGTACTTGACTCTAAAGGGAATAAGGGTGGAGCCTTGTGTTCCAAGGGGCCTCTGAGGCAAATGCTCGCACGTCTGCACAGTGGAGCAGCCATGAAGCATGCTGTAGAGCAAGAGGTTTTTGCTTTGTGAGAGGACAGTTGTGGCGGATAGATTGATTCCTTGGAGTCTCTGAGACCCTGCTCAGTGCGCCTCATCTTGTTTGCACCCTTCTTTCCCTAACCTCTGCTCCAGGAGCAACCAGGGAAAACCAGGATGGAGCTTTTGGCTCTGAGACACATCACACATTTAATCCTGAATATTGTGCGGGTGCAGAGCAGAAATGGTACACAGAGTGGGTGGTTCTGATTTTCTTCCCCTTTTAGAGGAAACAAGCCCAGAGGTTGAGGTGGCATTCCTGAAATCACAGACATGAGACGGAGAACCTGTCCTCACCTGGCTCACAGGCCAGGCCCTTTCACATTAATTCCCCTGTCTACCTTACTATCTAGGTGGGGAAAACAAGGCAAGTGAGCTTGGAATCCAAGGGGCTTATAGTGGCTGTGACCACATTTCCAGAAGACTGTGAACTGGGTAATGGCCCAGAACCCAGCCAGCATCACACGTCCCCCCCATGGTAATTAGCAATGTTCCCTGGTTTTAGCCAGGGAATGTCATTATGTGGGCTGGCAGACAGCTGAAATCCAATTAGAGGGGCCTTACTCCCCAGGCTGCAGCAGGTGTTCAGAGCTGGCAGCCTCAGGGACTCCTCACCCCTCTAATGTGCTTGGGCCCCAACCCCAGCTGTAAGCAAAGTGGAAAAGCATCATGGTCAGCTCTGCCTTACCCCAAGCATGTGACTCAGCAACTGCCTTCTCTCTGAGCCTCTGTCTGGCCTCTGCAACATTGGGCTAAGAGTTGCCATCATCAGGTGTCTTATGAGGCATATGGGCCTGGGTACCTGCAAAGTACCCAGGAGCCATTTGCCACAACTGTGACCATGATGGTGCTGTCCCCTTGTATCTCCTTCCTCTAGACCTTCTGCCCCCTGAGGTCTGCAGCCTCTTGAACCCAGCAGCCATCTATGCCAACAACGAGATCAGCTTGAGTGCTGTTGAGGTCTATGGCTTTGACTATGACTACACACTGGCCCAGTACGCAGATGCACTGCACCCCGAGATCTTCAATGCTGCCAGGGACATCCTGATTGAGCACTACAAGGTGAGGCTGTCAAGCCCTAGAAGCCAGTAGCACCCAGGCCTGGTGGCTAGATTGATCCCCAGAAGTGACCTCCCTTGAGAGCTAACACTGCTACTAGCCTAAGTCTGGCCTCTTTTGGTTTGACAGTACCCTGAGGGAATTCGGAAGTATGACTACGACCCCAGCTTTGCCATCCGTGGCCTCCACTATGACATTCAGAAGGTGAATGGCTAGACACTGACCCCTCCTGACCAAATGTGAATAGGGGCAACTTCAGCCAACCTCCCTCCCTATTTGATCACCCCTGGCCTCAGATTATAGTTGTTTCATCAGTAGCATCCAGTAGAGGTTTTGGTTGGAGGTGGGGGGTAGTTGGGAGAGGCTTTCTCAGGGCCAGTGGCAAAAACTTAGCTTCTCACCACTGGTCCTGCCCATGGATACCCCCAGAGCCTTCTGATGAAAATTGATGCCTTCCATTATGTGCAACTGGGGACAGCCTACAGGTTAGTGTTGGGTCTACCTTGATCCCACCCTGCACTGCTACCTGGGCTCAGACTGAGGGCATCTGTCCCTTCCATTCAGGGGCCTCCAGCCTGTGCCAGATGAGGAGGTGATTGATTTATATGGTGGCACCCAGCACATCCCACTGTACCAGATGAGCGGCTTCTATGGCAAGGTACCTCATCCACCTGCTTTTGCCCAAAGCAGACCAGTAATCTTACTGTGGGTGCCAGTGGAGCCATAGGCCATGCCCTCTGCCAGTGTCCCAAGGCAGATAGATCCCTTGGTCTCTAGTGGTTAGAGTGGTGACTGAGATCTGACCCCCTCCCCAGGGCCCTTCTATCAAGCAGTTCATGGACATCTTCTCACTGCCAGAGATGGCACTGCTGTCCTGTGTGGTGGACTATTTTCTGGGCCACGGCCTAGAATTTGACCAAGCACACCTCTACAAGGACGTGACGGTGAGGAGCCTGGGCCTGCCCCTTAGATTAGGTGAAGTCTGGCCACAGCATAGCAGGTGCTCCTGGGCTCTAACATGTTCTCATTGCCCTCTGCTTCCCTCAGGATGCCATCCGGGATGTGCACGTGAAGGGCCTCATGTACCAGTGGATTGAGCAAGACATGGGTAAGGCTGGACAGCACCCTACCATGGCCTGCCTGAGCACTGGGTCAGGGTTGGCCCTTGCAGACCCTCTTCCCTTTCAGAGAAGTACATCCTGAAAGGGGATGAAACATTTGCAGTCCTGAGCCGCCTGGTAGCCCATGGGAAACAGCTGTTCCTCATCACCAACAGTCCTTTCAGTTTTGTGTAAGTACAGCCCCACTGTGGAAGGAGGGACACAGTGGTGGGGGGCAAGCGCAGTACTGCCCCCAGACCACCTGCAGCCAGTGCCACTTCTGCACAGGGACAAAGGCATGCGACACATGGTGGGTCCTGATTGGCGCCAACTCTTTGATGTAGTCATCGTCCAGGCAGACAAGCCCAGCTTCTTCACTGACCGGCGCAAGTATGGGCATACTGGGGACTGTGGGGCTGTGGGAGGAAGACAGAGCCCCTCCCACTCCCCCACTGAGAGGATTCAGGGACAAAGCCAGATTAGCCTTGGCCCACCGCCCTGTGTACTTGGGTGGAGATACCCCCTACTGGTCAATGGCCCACCTGAGTGTAAGGGCTTTTACAGAGGTAAGGATGGAGCTACCTTGTGGCTGTGCCATGACTGGAGCTCAGGCTCTTTACTCTCACCCAGGCCTTTCCGAAAGCTTGATGAGAAGGGTTCCCTCCATTGGGACCGTATCACACGCTTGGAAAAGGGCAAAATCTATCGGCAGGTAAGACCGTCTTGGGGAATAGCACGGGGGGTGGGGGGCGCTATGCAGGAACAGCCTCTGGAAAAACAGCCTCACATCCTTGACCAGATTTGTACTGTGGAGCTAGAGCCATTGGCCACCATGGTAGGACTGTTAGGAAGCAGGTCTGGGTGATACTGGAAGAGCTTGGTGACCACATTGGGGTTTAGATTCCAGCACTGTAGTCTAAGGAACCTAGCCTAGTCACCTCTAGGCCTTGCTTTCCATTAATAATGTTCTACTTGAGTTGCGGTATAAAACCCTTAGGATGTTCCACAGTCACTGAAAAGCTAGCATGGCACTGAACCAGCCTGGTTTGGGAGTCCTGAGCCGGGCTTGTCAGGGCAGCTCATGAACTGAGACCCCCACCTCCATTCCCCACCTTTCCTGTGTGACTAGGAAGAAAGGTCAGGCTAGGGCATTGGTGGCCCTGGCTAGAATGTAGAGACCTTGGCTGAGGTGGGCATCTTGGGAGTCAGGGGTCCCAGAGACCTTGGGACTTGGAAGAGCCAGCACTTGGCCAGGGGAACAGCATCAGGATGTCCAAGCTGGCTGGCAGGCAGTATGCCCACTGCTAAGCATCCTGCCCTGCTGATCCCAGCTCTCCCCTGTCCTTTCTGTGCGGGTACATCCCCTCAACTCTCAGTGTTGGCATCTGGCCATGGAAGGCCCCTTTGTGGGAAGGTCCCTTTCTGGTCAGGCCTGATATTCTAAAGATTCCTTATGTTCACTGGACCCTGTTTGGTTCTCAGAACCCCAAGTCCTTATCTTTGCCCTCTCCTTCACCTGCCCCTTGAGGTTCTTAAACCACGGGGCACATCCTCTGCAGCCCTTCTACCTCCCATTCATGCCTCCTCTGCAGTTGGTGTGCCCACTTAATTCGGTTCTTCCATAGTCACCTACCCACCCACCCCACCCCTAGTTCATGTCTCTAGGTTGATTGATGCAGAGCTGTGCTTTGCTGAGTGTGCATTCTCAGCCCTGGAGTGTGGGTGCTGCCCCTGGTGGTAGCCAACTCTGCTTCCCAGCTCTGGCCCTTCCATTTCTAAGCTGCCCCCCACCCCTACCCCTACCCATCCCCCCCAGGAGCTTCCCCAGTTATATCTGTGCCTGGCTGGGTGTTTCCATCTTTCCCTGGCTTTGGAGCAGGAGAAAAACATGGCCATAATTCTGTGATTGGTCTATTGGGTCCCTGGGGCCGAGCCTGAAGAGGCCAACAAGAGCTTCAGGGCCCTTTGCTTTAGCACCTGGAGTCCTTATAGTTTGTTTCTCACAAACTGGGAGCCCTAGCCTGGGGTGGGTGAGAGGTCACAGAAAGAGACCCTTGCTTGAGGGCTAGTCCACGCCTATAAGAGATGTTCTGCTTTGGGCAATAACCACCACCACCACCCCCCTCAGTGGAAGGGGGAAGTAGTAAGGGCCTCAGAGCAGTGGGGCCACGGGAAAGGGCAACCCGGCATCCGGCTGGCTTTGGCTACCTCTGGGGAATTGGGAGGGCTAGTGAAGGACAAGGCCTGGTTTCCGCAGCCCCGTGGGAACACTAGTGGCTCAATAATGTCCTCTACTCCCTAGGGAAACCTGTTTGACTTCCTTCGTCTGACAGAGTGGCGAGGGCCAAGAGTTCTTTACTTTGGCGACCATCTCTACAGTGACCTAGCGGTGAGGGGCCGGTGTGCAGGGCTTGGCAGGGGAGGGGAGAGCGCCCTCTCAGCTGGTGCTGAGGCCTGTCCAACCACCCCATCCACCAGGATCTCATGCTGCGGCATGGCTGGCGCACAGGTGCCATCATCCCTGAGTTGGAGCGGGAGATCCGCATCATCAACACGGAGCAGTATATGCACTCCCTGACCTGGCAGCAGGCGCTCACAGGGCTGCTAGAACGCATGCAGGTGGAGACAGCAGGGGGTGGTAGGCTCTGTGAACTGGGCTACACCACCTCCTGGATGCACACCTATCTCATTGTGTTTCCCCAGACATATCAGGACGCAGAGTCACGACAGGTGCTGGCTACCTGGATGAAGGAGCGGGAAGAGCTAAGGTGAGCAGAGTGGAACCAAGACGGGAAACCTGTCCCAGTCTCTTCTGTACCCATTCTCAGGTGCCCCATTTTTCCTTCCCCAGATGCATCACCAAGGCCCTGTTCAATGCTCAGTTTGGGAGCATCTTTCGCACCTTCCACAACCCTACGTACTTCTCTAGGCGCCTTGTGCGCTTCTCCGACCTCTACATGGCCTCCCTCAGCTGTTTGCTCAACTACCGAGTAGACTTCACTTTCTACCCACGCCGCACACCCCTGCAGCATGAAGCGCCCCTCTGGATGGACCAGCTCTGCACTGGCTGCATGAAGACACCCTTTCTTGGTGACATGGCCCACATCCGCTGAGGGCACTTTTACTGTCCAAGACAGACCATCAGTCCTTCCAGCCCTGGCCACCCTGACAAGCAATAAAAGTGGTCTCTGTCCTCCATGTGCCTTTGTTTTGGCTCCTGGCCATCATTTGACTGTGAGGATCCTCTGGGTATCAGGAAAGTCTTCCTCCAAGAGTGAGGCCTAGAAAGAGGACAGCTGTGTGTATTTGGGCAAGCCTGGGCTCTACCTGTCCCTACAGCCCTCCACCCCCACTTCCCACCCCTTCACTCACATCAAAGGGTTCACAAAAGACATCATTGCTGCCAAAGACAGGGTTGGGGACAGACACCAGGGTTGGGCTGGTCCCTTCTTGCCATGGGGAGAAGTCATCATCAGCATCATCTTCTGCCTAGAATGATGACTGATAAGGCCCCGAAGCAGGACAGAAGGGCCTTGCACCCACAAACTCCCAGCCCTGCCCTACCTGGAAGGCAGAGAAACCAAAGCCTGTGCGCTTGCCTCGCACACGCAAATAGAAGGCTCCAGCCACCAGCCCCAGCAGGGTTCCAGCAGCTACCACAACCCCCACGCTTTCTGCCACAGGTGCCTCAGGTGCCAACACTGCCCCCTATAGGCAAGCGGAAGAGAGTATCAAGTATCAGATGTCCCTCACCCTTTGCAGCTCTGACTCCCCTTCCCCATACTCACAGACTGGGGGGGTGCCAGTAGGGGCCTGGCCAGAGCATGGATGATGCCATTGAAGGCAATGATGTCCCACGTGATGATACGGCCAACCACAACTGCCCCTGGAATCTGCAGAGAAACCAGTCAGGCCCAGCAGGTGAATGAGGATTGAACTGGCAAGGTAGTAGCAGAGGCCAGACTTACCACAGGAGCCCAAGAACTGTTGTCACTGATGATGAGGCTAAGACCCGAGTGGGCAGGAAGCAAGGTCCCCTGACTGGCATTGGCATTCAGAAGGGTGGCATTAGAAGCATGGAGTTCTAGGTCTGGGCCACTCAGCGTCTGTGAGCAGAACAAGACCTGTTAGGTTGGGCCAGCCAGAGAGGGCAGACTGTCCAGGCCCCTACTCTTACCATATTGTCCACAAAGCCTTCATTGACAGGGACAAAAAGTGTCTTGTAGGTGAGCTCATCATCCAGGAAGTCCAGGAAGTCAAGACCACTCTGGGTAGTATTAGCATAACCCAGCAGCATCTGCAAGGGTTGGGAGACAGGGCTATGGGCAAGCTTCCTTCCTGGGGGTTCCCAGCTACCCACACTCCCTCTCCTGAGACTGGCCCTTGCATACCCCATAGAAGGTGGAGAAGTTGGGGGTGGCAGCCAGTACATCAAGCAGCTTCCCATTGCATGTGCTGATCCCATCACCTACAAAGCCATCCCGACATCGGCAAGCCACATCTGCAGGAGAGGCAGGTCAGCAGCTTGGAGGAGTTCAGAGTATGGGGATAGGCAGAGGTTGGTGGAGTGGACATACCTTGCACACGGTAGCAGTAGGCATCCCAGTGTTCTGACAGGTTCTCGCGAACACCAAGGCTAATTACACCTACACGACCATCACCACAGTCTGCCGCAGGGAAGACAACAGGATGGGCAGCAGAGCCATTGGCCAGCCAGCCCACCAGGCATACATGGAAGCCCAGCTGTAAGGGCAGAGGAGATGCTGAGACCCAAGGCCCAACATGAGGGGCCTTCCCATAGGCTTAGCTCCAATCCCCATAGAGTTGTACACCTGCTGGGCAGCTAAGAGTTGAGGGAGTGAAGCAAGGACTGCTCCCTGGTCCTCACATGCTGCCTTGGCCTCTGAGAAAGTCAGGCCATAAGGGCCACTGGTGGCCTGGATGTGGAAGACGCCAGCCCGCTTTTCTGCAGAAAGAAGTGAGGCTGCATGGTCAGATGCACAGTACCCTGGGATATACAGCAGGTGTCAGAAGTGGGTAGGGAAGCACACCCTGGAAATGGAGGTCAGTGCACCCAGCATCTGTGTGGCAGGGTGATGGCTGGCCCAGACAGCGGTCCACAGGTGGCTCAAGCTCCTCTAGACACTGCAGTCCGTCACCCACATAGCCTGCATGACACTCACAGCGCCGGGTGTTCTGTGGGCAGGAAGAATAGTGGTTGCCCTACAGAGACAGACATGGAGCAAGTCCATGGGGCCTCCCCACTCATGCTGTTTGGCTCCCCACCTGCTTACCGGGCCAGTATTGATGCAGTCAGCATGCTCACTGCAGCCTCCACGGTGGCTGTCCAAGCAGGGGTTTCGAGCTTGGCAACTCCAACCATCACCCTCATAGGCAGGCAGACAGGTACAGGTGACCACTGTCCCCACCTGGCTACAATTGGCATGCTCACTGCAGCCGCCATGTCCCTTCTGGCACAGATCTGCCACTGGGGGCAAGGAGGGAGTGGCTGAGCCAGGTGACTAGAATGGGTCCAGGGTCTCCTACCTGTAAGTCACAGTCTTCTGCTTACCTGTGCACACATGGCCATCCCCTTCATAGCCCAGGCTGCACTCACAGCTGTTGCCCGCACGGCACATGGCCTGGGGTGCACAGGGTGGGGCACACACAGGCTGCAACTCTGTCCCCAGGACCCATCCCACATGAGCAGGTCAGTAGCTGCCCTCCTGGCCACTACCTCTCTCATCCACCCTCAAGGGCCTCCACCTGAGTGTGCAATTAAGACGCGTACTGGTGCGTACAAGAATGTTATATGCACACAAGCTCAAGGGCCACTCACCCAGCTGCACCTCACAGCGTGGCCCAGTCCAGCCTTCATCACAGAAGCAGGAGCCAGAGCCCCCAAGGCCCTCATCACAGCGTCCATGTGGGGTGCAGTGGCAGGCTGGGGAGAGGGGCAAGTTGACACAGGCCAAGGGAAGTGGAACAAGGTGAAATGGGACAGGGCAGAGCTTACCTTGGCATTGGGGTCCAAAGGAACCTGGGGCACAGAGTTCACAGGCTGTCCCAGCAAAACCTGAATGGCATTTACACTGCCCACTTCCACTCATGCCATCCAGGCACACACCATGGTCATTGCAGGGGCTGCTGGGTCCACCAGGGCAAGCTAGGGAATAGTGTGGAAGTGAAATGGGGCTAGACGTGCTCATGAGGACACACACCTACAGCTCAGAGCTGCCACCTGTCTCCTACTGAGTGGCAGCCAAAGCTCTTCAAGAAGTACGAATTCACCCATGTCCTCACACTGCTGAGAATCCGCCAAGCCTGGAGAACTCAGACCCTCCAGTGCTCCACACCAGAACAGAATCTTCTGCACACCCACCTCCTTCTTTAACATTCCTCTAGCAAAGCATTCCCTCTACCCTGGAGTACCTCACTATCCTTTATCAAAAGCAATGGCCAGAGTTTGGCCCTTGGCTATCTTGTGGCTAGAGGAGATAATCAGAATATCTTAATCCTCAGAATGCTTACCTTGGCAGTCACTGCCATAGTGACCAGGGCAGCAGCTGGGCTTCCAGACAACAGTGACACAGTTTCGGCGGCAGCCCCTACCCAGACGCTGGGGATGATTCCAGAAGCTAGGCCTCATCCAGACACTGCGAAGTGCCAGGGAATGCAGTGGGGGAGTCGTCCAGAACTTGGAGAAGTAGCGCCAGCAGGCCTCAGGGCTGCCCTGGGTCAAGAAGAGTCAGGCCACAGGCAGCCTGAGTTTGATGGTGCTCAGTGCCTTCTCCAACCCTCAACTCAGCCTCCAGCCCCTTACCTGCTCTTGTGATCCCTGAGGACAGGGTGGCTCCAGTCCACAGATGCTGCAAGTCTTCTGGAAGGAATGGAGGCCAACACTGCAAGGTCAGGTGGATGGATGGGATAGGACAGGTAGGTTGGGCCCCTGCCATTCACCTATGGCCTTCCTCACCATTTGAAGTGCCCGGGTCTCAAAGCGGTCACAGCGGGCACCAAGACCAGGTGGCTCCAGGAGCTGGTCGATGCCATAGGCCAGGCCACCTTCAAAAGGCAAGTGCCGCTGCACAATGTGGGCGTCATCTTCGCCTACCATGAGTGCACCCTAAAGGGAGAAGACATAAGGGTCACAGGCACTATAGCCCCTTACTCCCCACCTAGTTCCCTCCTCTCTTCAGACTCACAGGCCGGGTACGGCTGCAGGAGAAGGAGATGGGGTTTCCATGCATGGTTCGGAGTGGGCCCAGGTTGGGCAGGTCAGATGCCAAGGCCTGGGTAAATAGACCTATGATTGGAACTGGGCAATCAGGCTGAACTGCAGGCAGCAGGAATCAAAGACTGGGCCTGTACCCACCTCAATGTTTCGGATCATATGGCCCCGCAGAATGGCTGCCAGTTTGTCTCTGTGGTCCTCATGGTATAGCCAGGCCTGCCGATCAGCAGGCAGGGCTTGCAGAGCAGAATCTGTGGGCCACAGCATAGTGAAGGGCCGATGGGATGCATCCTGAAGCATGGGCAGGAGGCCAGCTACCTATGTATTGGAACAGAGGTGTAGCATCAGAGACTGGAGGCTAGATGAGAGACCAGGAGGGGGATCCAGAGAAACCCAGGCCCAGGTAGCCTTCCCTCTAGCCATGCTTATCTGCAGCTATCCTGGGTAGACAGTCATCCCCTCCTTATCTGCAGAGAATAGGTTCCCAAAACCCCAGAAGATGCCCAAAATCACAGTCCTGAACTGTATACTGTTTTTCTTATACCTATGATAAAGTGTCATTTATAAACTAGGCACATTAAGAGATGAGCAATAAAACAATTATAATAGTATATTTAAAACATGTGACATATTTCTGGGATTTTTTTCTTTTTTCTTTTTTTGGTCTTTTTGAGACAGGGTCTCCCTGTAGCCACAGCTGGCCAGGAACTCACTATGTATATCAGGCTGGCCTTGAACTCACAGAGATCCACCTGCCTCTGCCTCTGTCTCCTGAGAGCTGGGACTAAAGGCATGCACTCCCACGCCCAGCTTGACTTTTTTTCACTTAATATTTTCATCATACACTCTTCCGTGTGTGTGTGTGTGTGTGTGTGTGTGTGTGTGTGTGTGTGTGTGTGTGGTTTCCACGCCTGCTACCACACAACATGTGGAGAACCTGTGGAAGCCAGTTCTTTCCTTCCACTTTGTGAGTGCCAGGTATTGAACTCAAGTTATCAAGCTTGGTGGCAAGCCTCCTTACCCACTGAACCGTCTTGCAGGCCTCATTTAATATCTTCAGACTGCAGAAACGACATTGTGGATAGGCAGAAACTACTGTTTATGGGCACTTTTGCAGGGGTAAGTCTGCACACATATTGACAACACATTTGCTCACATGTGCTCACACTGGGAGTTTCATGCTCATAGATACGGCCTATATACAAGGGAATTCTCGTAGGCATATTCATTCCCAGAAAGGGGTAAGCAGAGACACTGTTGCACACATAGTCGTACACTGACAGGCCCATATTCATGGAAACAGTACCGTCACCAGCTGGCTGATGATCTTGTAACCGAAGTTCTCAGCAGCAGCGGTGACATTTCTCTGAGAAAGGATACTCATAAGCAACTGATCAGGTGGGAAGGGAAGATCCTTGCCTGCCACCCAGCTCCCAGGCTCACACCCAGACATACTGGAGGGATTGGGGCAGTATCAGCCTCCCAGTGTAGCACATCTGGTGGCAGCAGTACACGATCAATGAAATGCAGAACACCGTTCACCGCCTCGTGGTCACTGCTGACCACCCGTGCAAAGTCATTCAGATATATGCTGCCCTGGGGGTGGAGTGTGGTTACACTAGGGTAGAGCCAGGGCTGAATAGAGTTGATTGGTGGGGTGCTTGAAGCTGTGGGTGGGGTGTGGTGGGGGAGGGGCCTGGGGTGGGAGTGTTTGGGGGTAGACAGTCCTGGGTTTAGGACTGAGATAGAAGGTGAGCTGGACCTAGGGCAGGGTCAAGGTATAGGACAGAACTCCCATTCCAGTCAGAGAAGCCCACACAAAGCACCATACTTGACTTGGCACTGTGGGAACAGGGCAATGGCATCAGCTTGATTTGGAAGTCCTGGGGTAGAGGGCAGGTCTATGATAGTGGGTGGTACCCAGATTGTGGGCACCCTTTGGGTGGGACTCATCTCCCTCTCATTGTGGTACCCAGGTTGAGTCTTAAAGGAATGGAGGCAGGGCACAGGCACAGGGACAGGTTTGAGGTCTGAGTCTGGGGACTGAGTCCTGGGCCTGGGGGAGGACCCTTTAGCTGGTGGAACCCATGGTGTGGGTGGACTCACCTCCCTCTCACTGAAGCGCAGTGTGTGCCCAGATAGAGCAGTGGCATATCCCTGGTCCAGCAGCTCCTGGCTCCCTAGCTGCCAACAGCCGACCACATGGTAGCGAAACACAAGTTGGCGATGGGCATGAATCCTAGACAGCTCATCCTAGAGTAGTCATGTGGATAGTGGGAGCCAATGATTGTCACCTCTGCCCATGTAGTGACCAATCCCAGAGTGCTCATCCCTCTCCAGCCTGCTCCCAGGGCTATGTACCTGTGACAGGTTCCGCATCAGATCTACATGTGGCACAAAGATGGTGAAAGGCCCATTGCCCTTGAGCTCCTTGTATTCCTGGAGAAGTGGGAAACAGCTTAAGCAGAAGAAGAACAACTTGGGACCCACTTGGAGCTTCCATGGAGCTTCTGGGAAAGACTTGAACTCTGAGAGAGCAGACCAGTAACTCTCTCCACCCCTAACTGCCCCCCAACCAGATGGACACATGCAGGCCCAGAGACAGTTGATACCTTCCAGCAGGCTGCAGAGGCCTAGGCTACTCACCAGGAGGTAGATGCTGAAGAATGAGGCATTTTTGTCCCGTCGGAGCTCCTGGGGGAGCGAGGATCAGCTCAGATTTTGGGTGGCCCCCATTCAGGGGCTGGTGCTTGTCCTAGCACCTGCAGCCCAAGGTCTGGCCAAGGCAGAGATGAGGAAAGGAAAGCCAGGGAGGGATCTGAGCTGGGCTCAGGATTTGTTTCATTTGTCATAGATGAGGTCAAGCCCAAGATGAGTCAGGGTTGGATTCAGAGTCATGGTCAAGGATCAGGGTCAAATCTGGATCTTGGCCAAGATCTCAGTTCAAATCCATGTGACATAGCCAAGATCAGATCAGGGTCAGACTTGGGAATCATTACCAGGTCAACTCGTGCACGGCAAGTGAAGCCATCTCCCACAGTATGGGCTGTGTCACAAGTGCACGTCCTCTGGCCGTCCCCTGTACTTTTGCACACAGCATAAGGACTGCAACCTCCATTGTTCTGAGAGACAGGAGAGGAAAGGGGGAGGGTGGTGTTCAGCCTCCTTTGCCACACCTAGCTCGGGGAAAGAGGTCTCAAAGACCCTGTCTAACCCTCAAAGTTCTATTTCTGACTGTTGAGCCAGATTTGAGCTTAGGGAAGGGATGCCCTGGATGATCCTGGGGGTGAAGAGGGTGGCTTTCTGCCTCTGTTCTCTTTCCCTGCAAAACATGGTGGCATGAGGGCCTGACCTGAGAGCAGGGGTCCAGAAGCTCACAGCTCCGAATGCCATCGCCACTGTAGCCCTCACGGCAGCTGCAGGAAACCTGTCCCAAATACTGATCAGTGGGGCTGGAGGGAGCACTAAGTGAAAAGGTCACTCCATAGCAAGCCTGGTCTGGATGGAGGCCCCACCCTTAGGAGTGACACAGCTCCAGGGTCAACCCTGTCATGCTGACCTGCTGTGGGCCTGTAGGGATGCAGTCTGCATAAACATGGCAGCTCCCATGGTGGATGAGACAGCTGTTAATTTCTGGGAGAAGAAATGTTGAAATGAGGGGTAGCCCTTGATGGCCCCTCCAGTCATCTGTCCATCTCTGCCTCCTGGTGCCCATCTCCTCCCGTCTCTGGGCCCCCAGTCTTCATACCACAGGTGCCCTCAATCCTTCCTAGCCTGCCTTTGATTACTAAAACCAGAATCCTTCACTTCATCTAGGTTGGGAGTCCTAGGCTCACCTTCGCACAGCTCCCCGTCACCTGTGTAGCCATCCTGGCAGGTGCATGTCCGCTGCCCAGGTGCCACCTTGGTGCAGTTGGCATGGGGCGAGCAGCCCCCATTGCCAGAGGCACAAGGGTCCACCTCTAGGGATAGAGATTGTGAGGCACAGGCATAGGCCAGGGGTGGAGCAGAAGAGGGCAGGAGAGAAAGGAAGAGGTTAGACAGAAGAGGTTAGCTAACCCCAAGATGGGACAGCCAGCCCTGGCATTTCAGAGTGGGGCCCAGGGCATCTATGTGGCTGACCTGAGCAGTAACTGCCATTGCCGGAGTATCCTGCAGCACAGATGCAGACAGGGGTTCCAGATGAGTCCTGTGCACAGCTGGAAGGGATGGTAACCACTCAGCCCATGCCTGCCTGGCCCTGCACACAGTCCCCTCACTGCAGGTTGGGCACACTCACTTGGCATTAGGGTCGCACTTCTTGGAGCATTGAAGGTCAATAATTTCTGGGGAGGGGTGGGCAGAAGGTTCTGGTCATTCAGACCCAAACTACCTCCCCCACTGTCATTTGTTCCTACCCCTCTGGGATCTACTCACTCTGGTCGCAGCGGAGACCCTGCCAGCCCACATTACAGATGCAGCTTCCGTCCCCTTGCAGCCCCTCCTGGCACAGCCCATGGGCACAGTCACAGACTAGAAGTGGGATTAAGAAGGACAAGAGTCACCCTGCTGCACCTGCTGGTATGCCCAGCCTGTCCTTCCCAAGAGGCCACCATCTTACCCCTTTATAGTCCTTACCTCCAGAGCAGGTGGGTCCATAGCGGCCCAGCTCACACATCTCACAAGCTGTTCCGTGGAAGCCCTCTTGGCAGCGACACTCCCCATTGCCCAGGAACCTGTCCTGGCACTGCCCATGACCTGAGCACACACCACCTAGACCCCCTGGGCACGGCTCACATAGTATGCCAAAGAAGCCAGGGCAGCAGTCAGGTACCTGTCGGGGAAAGGGAATGGGAAAGGAAGGAGAGAGAGGCCCAGCACAGGCCAAGGAGGCTGTCACTGGCCAGAAAGAGGTAGCGGCATCTTAGAGCCATAAAGCCATAGAACAGAGCAACTTGGAAGTACAGACCCATGGAGGTAGACCAGAAGTGGCAGAAAGAATGGAGGAGGTCTGGTTACTGCCACTGGGGCTTGGCTGATGGGACTAGCTCTGGGCTGAGACCATGTCCCATTTCCCATTCATACTCCCAGGCTTAGGCACAGAACCAGCAGTATCCCTCTGACTTTGGGCATTCCTTGGGTCATCCTTGTGTTGTCTTTGCCAGAGGCTCAGCACACCTCTGCCCTTGAAATGTAGTCTGGGCTCTTCCCCAGGGGGCCCTGTCGCCCTCCCCATCCCTCGCCAAAGCCTTTGGGTAGAGGCACTTCAGAGCAAACCTGGATCTTCTTGGCACATGTGTAGGAACAGCCCCGGGAGAAGGAAAAGCCAGATCTGTAGACACAGCTCTTCCTAGGTGTGTCCTAGAAAAGGAGATGGGTAAGAAGGGCCATCTGGTGGATTGGACAGGACCAGAGCAGTACATGAGGAGACAGACAAATGGGCTGCAGGTGTCAGAGTAGGTAAAACAGAAAAACTTGAACAGAGAGGGGAAAGGAGAGGTAGGGCCAAGACAGATAGGTCTAATGAGGGCACAGCAGAAGGACCAAGCTTAGGTATGCAAGTTTGGTTGAGGCTCTTCTGAACAGACCTGGGCTTGACCTCAGCCTTAACTAGGGTGCAGGGGGGTTTCAGCTGCCCATACCTGACCAGTTCCCAGCAGGGCTGGTCCTGGGGGCTCAGTGAGGGCAGTGAAACAGGTACAGAGCTGTGCTGGCTCAGCCTTACCTGGAGCTGGAATCCCTGAGTACAGCGGAATTTCCGGGTGCAGTTTATGCATTTCTCCTGAGGAAGAAAGGTAAATCATTAGCTGGTCTACAGCCGGAGGCCCCCAAACTCACCATCCTTCCTCCAGGACAAGACTGGCTAAGTGTGCCTCCCTGCCACCCAGGCCAACTAGCACTTGCTATTCTTTTTTTTCTTTTTAAACTTAAAAAAAATGTTATTATT